CTCTCTCTCTCTCTCTCTCTCTCTCTATTTTACGCACAATCACGCGCACACGCACGAACACACACACACACACACACACATACACACACACACACACACACACACACACACACACACACACACACACACACACACACACACACACACACACACACACACACACACACATACACACACAAACAGTGGCTATATGCCAAGTTGTAATCGAAACGCTTTTTTACTGACAGCCAGGGTACACATTATAAACTGTATCTAATAATTAAAAAAAAAAAAAAAAACAGTATATAGAAATATCATGCGCGAAATATCTCAACTTTCAGTGCAGAATATTCATGCGCCTCTGTACTCCATACTCTCATTTAGACATAGAACGATTTAGTAAAACATATAATGGACTACCTCAGAGACAGCATATTACATTAAACAGAGTAAGCATGAGCTACCAGCACACTATGTATATTACGAGATGGAGTTATGGGGACAAAGCCAGATTGATTTATTTCGTCACTCTAAAACGCCAGATTTATTTATTTCGTCACTCCAAAACCCATGATCTTACTCGTCACTTATTTTGCATACGATCTGAATCCTCTCGGTCGAGTATCACAGTCTACACATTCAGTTGTTGATTATGGGAATTATTGATAAACACTGGTTTTGTCTCTGAGATGATTATGGATGTAAAAGTTTGCATATCAACTTGATAAGACATGCATGTGACGTAAGAATAATGGCACAGCTCTTCATGTATGTTTATTGTGCTCATTTGCGTATGACCGATGGCCCACTCCAGCAGTAAAACCTCATCCAGTTCGTGTAGATGAGTTGGCATCTTTCCATGGCTATTTTGTAGGGCACGTACAGTTTCATCAAATCAAATCAAATCTCTCTCTTGTCTGTATGTCTCTGTCTGTCTCTCTGTCTCAATCTCTCTCTGTCTCAATCTCTCTCTCTCTCTCTCTCTCTCTCTCTCTCTCTCTCTCTCTCTCTCTCTCTCTCTCTCTCTCTCTCTCTCTCTCTCTCTCTCTCCCTCATTCTCTCTCTCTCTCTCTCTCTCTCTCTCTCTCTCTCTCTCTCTCTCTCTCTCTCTCTCTCTCTCTCTCTCTCTCTCTCTCTCTCTCTCTCTCTCCATGTCTCTCATTTCTTGAGATCCTATTGGTAATTATAAAATTGGAAAATAAATGTCGCATTGATGGAATTGATAACCACAGCAGTAACAACAATGATGTCAATAGTGATGCGAAAAGACTATAGCTAGCCACCAAGTAACCGGTTTATTGTTGTTATCAGGAAATATTTTTACTCGGTAGTTATCAGCAGGAAAGATGGGAGGTTTGAATTCCAAAATGCTGATAATTTCTCTAACGCTTTATTTCATCTCTTTTCATTTGTTTGCGTATTGAAGAAAGGGAAAGCTT